TGCGCGAGTATAACAAGTGAAATTCTCATAAGCAGATAATCGCGCGATATTCGCAACGAGGACCGACGGGAAGAGGCGAGCTGTGGTCGTCGGAAAGTTACTCTCCCCGAGAGCAGCAGCGGCAAACTACGCGCAAGTTTGCATCGAGACAAAAGATATTGTCCGCTCCGGTAAGTCCATTAACCGTCAAAGGCGGCGGCGGCGGCGGCGAAACAATGCCAAGTACAGTCGTCGTTCGTCACGGATAATGTGATCGAAGAGAGAGAGAGAGAGAGAGAGACGCGCGCGCGCGTCCTTCGTTAATGTTCGATATAAAACGAAAACACTGCCTTTCGCAATTCGGCAGGCGGCGAGGTGATGCGCGGAAGTCCGAGTCTAAGGCGAAACGGTTTAATTGCTGCGATTGGCGCGAGAGCGCTCGACTGATGAAAAGCACTTTATCGAGCGACGCGACGAACAAAAGCGCCGGGCTGCGTTATCGGGAACGTTTGCGAGCCAACCCCTCACGCACGATTGGGTCTACCTACCGCTGGCTTTCGCGGCTGCGGCTATTCACTGCTTTGTGCACGCCGAGGGACAATCTCGCGTTGCTTTGTTTTTTTTTCTATTTTTTTTTCTTTTGTCGCTGTGCGTAATCTCTTCGGATTTACGAGTTTACAAATACGGGTCGATGCGTCGAAGCGATTATCGTATTTTCCACGTCAGCGTGCGCGCGGGGATGCGTTTTCTGCGACAGCAACTTTATCAGCGCGATGCCGGCCGATTTGAGCAACGGCGGCGGCAAGAAAAGCAAAGGAGGTAAACGCAACGAGGCATGCTCGTTTACAACGTTAATTAAGCAGCGAAGCTACCTCTCGCAAAGCCAATTAGAGGCGCGGTGAAACTTGATAGGAGCGAGCGTGATGCAGTTGGCGAGCTACGATTGTCGTCAGGCGCCGCGGAGGCATCGACGGCAAAGTTGGCGGACGAAAACTCGACGGGATCGTTCAGCGAGGATGAGGAACGGCTGCGAAACGTTCGAGAGGAGCGCAGCGGGGGCGCGCGCGGAAAACCGTCCTCCCGCGATCGGCCACCGAACCGACCCCGACGAGTCGCCTCAGCCTTGGATCGCTCGGCGGCCGGGCGCGACGCGACGAAAGGATGAGCGCGTGCGCGGCGCGTATACGCACGTACGGCTCTCCTCCGAGCGACCTTGCCTTCGGCCATAAGCGCGCAATAATTGCTTGGCTCGACCGTGTGCCTCGATGCATGACAATGCGAGCCGCGCCGCGCAGCTCCATTCGCACTTGGCGGCCAACGACGCGAGTGCGCGCCTCGTTTCCGCGCCTGTCGGACGGATTGGCCCTGCGTTCGCGCTTGCACAGCTCGACCGATCGCTTTTTATGCGCGAGCACTCGACTAATGTATCGTAATATGTAATATCGGCATGGACAGGCACGCGTGCGATGAATTCCATTAGAGCTCTCAACGTGAATATAGACGTGCCAAGGAGAGCGCTTTACCTAGGACGAATCCTTGACAGACATAAAACCACGGTATAGCAGTAGTTTTCTAATATTATTCCATTGGATAAAATGTCAACGGGAATCCAATTGGCAATATCAGCCGGTCATTCTTTTATTCTTTAGTCATTTTTTAGCGGACCGTCTTATTGATCTTTGGTATTGTGTCGCTCGCAGGAAAAACTTTTTTCCTGCTAAATAATTGATTGTTAAACTTTCATCAAATCATATGATGCATAATCAATCATTTACAGTCATTCACAAACGACGTGTAATAATAATACTCTATATAGATCTTTACTAAATCATGCTATATAATAATATTAGTTGGAAGAGCTATACTGTCGCTCAGAAGATATAGAGCAGCGGAGATCTGACGTTTAATTTCCGGATGGGTACCTCTGACTTTTTTTCAAATACCTCACGGCTCACGGTAAAAAACTCGTGCCCTAAAAGTCAAATCCAGGAATAACTGAAACATAAAATTATCTAACTAACAACTTTATTTAATACTTCTGAATTAGTGATTCCTCGGTATATGACATTCAACTTTTAAACAGTTAATTCATAATTATTATAATTATTATACCCGTTATTAACGAGTATACGAGATGAATTTGATGGATTGAATAACATTCAAATTCACAATATAAGCAATTAAGCATGTTTTAAATTCATGTGCATCTCCGAATAGTGAATTATTTGGCTAAAAGTACACAATCATAGTTTATATAGGAAATACAGTATCTAAACTGATATTTATTTTAATAAATAAATCATGCTTTTCAATAAATATTTTCCGCATTAATTCATAGACAAAACAATACATCTATAAGTATTTTTACATCAAAGAAAAATTAAAGCACAAAGTAAATATTATATTTTACTTTATTGTATATTAATGTTATTTATGCTTAAGCATGAAAGTTGTTTATATCTTGTTATTCCAATTTATTTTTAATTTTTTTAATTATAAATGTAAATATATTGAATAGTAATTTCCATTGCTTCGACAAATAATTCTTCAAAAAATTCTGTATTGGACTTTATCGTTTTTTTGCTTATTTTATTATATTGTGAATTACAAACACAATAATCTTGTTTTCAAGTTCATGAAAGTAAATGAAAATGTTTGTACATCAGTTTAACAATGCGTCGCGTGCTCAAACAGCTGGAAATTAGGTGGCGCTACCTTAAATATTTAATGTGTGAATTTTGAATATATAAGTTTAAAGGGTATCGAAATAACTAAGGTTTATCATGCAGAGAATGGTTTGGATTTCAAGTTAAAAATAAGTGCAATCAATTAGCAAAGGTTCGTTTATGCGATAACAATGTACGAGGGCAAGTCCACTGACAGGTATGGGCTGAACGCCATAAGCGGGAGAGAACTTCACCGCAAGCCCGATTTTAGAAAGGGAGAAAATGAAAGAAAAGGAAAGATCGTATGACAATGTACCCGCAAAGCGAGAGCTCGCGCCCATCGTCCGTCCGTCGAATGGACGTACGGACGTGTATGACAACGTTCGAGAGTTGTCGAGCGTTTGTTCAGTTGGTATAGACACCCTATAAAGTTATATATTTTTATCCCGGAGAAGCACGTTTCTCGTGCGCGTTGTATGCTTCGAGTACAGCAATTCACAATTTTTCATACAGCCAATTGTTAAACGTTAAGTCTAAGGGTTAATCACGAGCGATTCTTTTTCCCGACTATTGGAATGACAGAAGAAACCAGTCAAGATTGAGCGATTGTGCTCCGGCACAAAAGCTCTAACTACGTAATCGGAGACATTTGACAGCGACGGAGAGAGTGGAAATATAGAGGCGTACGGGGGAATCGATAATCGTAAAAACAGACAAAGCCGCGCGGCATAATAATCCCACTCACTCTCGGGGAAATCCAATGGTTTACCTCGGACCGAAGTCGTCTATATAAGACCTCTAAAAAGTCGCGATCGCGCACAAAGATCCGAAGAAGGAAGTAACGGGAAGCCGAAGGACGTAACCGAATTCGTCCGTTCTCGATGCAACGTAAACTTAAGCAGGCTATACATATCTCTGCGGCATCTGTGCCCCTGCAAGTTTTCACTTTGGCGCTCTTGTGTGTTTCTCCCCCACCCGTACGAGCGGCGGACACCTCTTTTCTTCTCTCTTCTTTCTATACCTGTATTATCCTCCTCGCATCTGCTCGGGTGATTTTTCCCTGCCTCCCCCCTCCCCCCGCCATTGACGTTCGAGGCTCATCGTCTGCTGCCCGTAGCCATGTCTTTGTCGAAGCACATCGCTTGCGTTTGACGACAATTTTCCTCAGCTTTACACCGGATTACATAAATTTCATTTTTTTTTCCAATAAATCCGTCTATGTTTTTAGTTGACTTGATTTTTAATCGTGTTTCATTGAGTCGGTTACTCTATACAATTTATCACAGCTGCATTGAACAATTTTAAAGCGATATTTTTTTTTGCTATTTCAATTTATCTCCATTTCTTCAGTGGCAAAAAAGAAGCTTAAAATAACAGATTAAAAAAGAAGTTGGCGGTTAGTTCACAAGCTCCCCTACCCTCTCTCTTTCGTGCGTGAGCACGGAAAATCGTGTTTTCAAAATAACAGAACTCGCCAGCTGTCACGCTCGATTTTCAAGGGGCGATCGTTGCTTTTAATTTGATTACACGCTGACCATGTTTCTGCTGCGCTTGAAATGCGTAACGAATCATCCAATGGAAAATTGGAAACGTCTGCTTCTGAATTTTCATCTTTGGCGCCGTCGAGTTTTTAACGCCGTATAAATTGTAGCTCCGCCAATTATAATATAGATCCGGCTGCTGGAATATTTCACTGCAGCCAAGCTGAATGTTCACTGAATAAAAATATCAAGAGTCAATCGCGCGATATGTGATTATCGAGGCTGTTCATCGCGGATGAAACTTTTAATCGATTGTTCATTGTTGTATTAGTAACGGAGCTAGTCCTCACTATTGTTCAGTTAATTACCGCGATAATCCCGTAACAATGGCCTGCATGCTTGTTGCCTTCTATTTTACCAATCTCGCGTAATTGATAAATGCGCGTTACTTTTACGCTTCGAGAGATCAACAACGCACTATGTTAATTCGTAAGCGGTATAGTTACAGGCTGATATCGGGCATATATATATATATATATATATATATATACACACATATATACATATACATGTCAGGCAAGTGGCGAACGATTTTAAATATTCCCGATAACATCCTCGACTCCGAGCGGTTTTTCCAGATCTAGCATGGAAGTGTGAGCCACGCACGCAGACATCGAGTTCCACGCGCGAATATTGCGTCGCCGATATTAAAAGGGGGGGGGGGGGGGGAGGCTGCGAGCGCGCGAAAAATTCCTGTTGAAATTGCCGGCGTATCTTCGCCGATAATTCCCTGTAAGCCGTAGCGCAGACAATTCAATATCAGCGAGGTATTCGTCGATCTACATACGTGTGCGATATGTTTGCTTGTTTGCAGGGATCGGCGTGGTGCTGGTGACGGTGAGCGCGGTGGCTTGGCGAGTGACCAGTCGAGAAAACTGCAGTGGCTTCTTCGGACTGACGGGCAGAATTCCGGCCGCGAGGCCGATGCATCCCTACGCCGCCATGATTTATCCCGAGTTTCAGTTCCGAACTCCACCTCCCAGTTATCAGGTGAGAAAGCGAACGAGCGAAGCTCATATTTATGCCCGCCCGCCTCTTCGCGCGGAAATCTCTCGGGATTGCATTGTAAAGCCGTGGTCTGAGAAAGGCTTTATTGATCTTGCACACCACCAGCTGTTTATTTATTAAACAGACTTTCCTTCAACAGTTATTCCGGCTTTTTTTTCCCTTTTCTTTTGCTCTGCCTCTTTGTACTTTCCCTTCAATTTCGCTTTGATCAAAGTGCTTTTACGAGCTAATAACTTGGCTCCGTAATCATGCCTCGCGCAGTTTTATCGATTTATTTGGGAGAGAGCATTACGCTTTTTAGCCCGGGACATTAATTATTAGTCGGCCGACTATTTTTACGAAATTCATCTGCTCGGCCGCTCAAAGGAAACGAGCTTTCGAGATGTGTTTTTTCAATGATTGCACCGACTGACAATACACTTCCTCGGCGTAATTTCATTCAATTGGCTTCGATGCGCCAAACTTGTTAAACGCAACGGGATAATTATCTTCCGCGGAAAAAGTTGTTCGAAAGTCGACCGATGAAAAACGAAATTCCACGCGAAGAAAAAAAAAAATTGTTCCACTCGCAATTATCACTTCGTTCGAGTGCGGTTGCTTTCAGAACGTCGCCGAGAAATTACGACTTAAAACCAAACTGCAGAAAGTAGCAATCTGCGAGCGCAAAAGAATTTTCCAAAAGGATTGCATGCATAGAGGCGAAATTAAAGCGGAAAAGTCGCGAGACGTGTAAATGTTGATTTCCGGTTGCGATTTTCGCGTTTCCTTGTTTGGCAACTCGTAAAACGTTGCTTAGCGAACGATCCGATCGATAAGTACGTGCGTGTTACTTTCGAAAAACCTACGCTCGCTCACACACAATTCATACTCAATTTGCACGTGGTAACATTGTGCAGTGCTATTAAATAAATGAGGATACGAATTCTCGCGAAAGGCCTCGCTCGCTCCGGATAAATGTATATTATTATTGACGCAGCTTCGTTGGCTTCGGATTGTACATGACGCAATCTTATTATTATAAACTCGGCACGGGTATAGGTTTTCGCGTTGCTCTACAGCCAGTGTAGTTTTTTACCCTTTGATTGTATCCCTCGGTGCGCGTTCGTAATTTGCAAAGCGAGCTTTTGTTCTCAAGCACTCGGCAACGTTTTCGATGATCTCGAGCGTACAGCGAAGCTTTCGTCGGTTAATAAACGAAGGCAGCCTCGTATCAGATCGGATTCGTCAAGTGCACTTTCCAGATGCACGCCGACAAGGAGAGCGAGTTAACGATTGAAAATGCACGTTTACAGGCGAGCATGCAGGAGTACAGGCTACGACTGTTGCTGTTGGATCGGCTGCAGCCGACCTCGTCGCCGCCGCCGACGTACAGGTCGAACGCGGGCAGCCTGGTGGCGAACGGACTCGGGGCGATGAACGGCACGACGCCGGCCATAACCGGTCCTCACCACGCGAGCCACCATCACCACTCGATGGTGGGCACGGTGGGTCGCAACGGCGAGAGCCGACCGCCGAGTTATTGCGGCCATCGCGTGGTCGCGCCGACCACTCAGACCACTCATCACGGACTGCCACCCACTTCCAAGAAGGACGCCAATCTGGTGCGCATCGTTCAAACCGAGAGCGAGCCCGTGATCCTCAGCGGCGACCAGACGCCGCCGTGTGCCGCTGTCGAAGTACTCGCTCATCTTTAGTCAGCCAAGACACTCTTATCCCTCTTACTTCCTTCTTTCCTCACTGTGTTCTTTAGCGCTCAGAGCGCCATTTGTCACAGTTCTCGCGTGTGTATGTGTGTGTGCGCGCGTGTGTGTAAACGCGTATGTATGTGTGTGACGAGCCAGACGACCCCTTCCTTGTTGGCGACTGTCATTCCGATCTTGAATGTATCGTCGTTCGGCCCACTTGTTCTGTATATATACTCGAAAACAAATCGGAATAATAACGACGGAAACAAACATCATTTACGATGTTTATCTATGAATGCGTTTACCTTTAGTTGCACTCTGTAAATATGGTACTCTGCACGTCTTCTGTTCATAGCGCTTGATGCTGCGTGTGTATACTTTTTATTGTAAATAATCGACGAGAGACGTGCAACTTTTTATTGGAGAGAAGGAATCATTATTCGGTTTTGCGCATAATACGATTACTTTTCTTTTTTCGTTTATTCTTCCAATGATTTCGTTTTAATAATTGAGGAATAGCCGTCGTCAAGTTAATCCAACTGCTATTGTATTTTATGCTAATTGTGCCATAAGATTACTTTTCATTTCAGTATCCGCTTAAAAAGCAAAATCAATTGCTTCAAAATTGCAAACATGAAATGAATGGTGCTGGTATAACAGTTGATACACGTAACACTTATATACCCTTTTAATATATTTGAAATTGTTGTCAACGTGGAGTTGTAACACTTTTTTACCAAGCCCTTTGACTTTCCATGTAGGTATTTTGTATCCCGATACCTTAAATTTTGGGATAATAGCGCCACGAAAAAAAAATTCAAAATTTATCAAATTATTAATATCGTTAGAGTGAAAATATAATATTATGTTTTTCCACGAAAAGAAAATTGCAATGACATATGTGCATAATAATAACGATTTTTTTCATTTTTAATTATGCAATGGACTGATAAATTTATGTATTTACGTTACACAAAAGAAAAAATACATCATACTCAATACATGTATCTAAATAAAAAAATCTGTATCAAAGACGTAATTATTTTTCTCGTAACACATATGGATTTCAAAGTTCTCATCTTCTACACTATATAATTATTCATATAGAAATGAAATTGAAGCGCATACATGTTCAATGACAGAAGAATAGTCTCAACAGCTAGAATAGTTAGTCGTCTAAGAAACTGTGTGCTCTTTTAGAACCATTGAAATTTTATGAAGATATAGAAATCAATAAGAAAATAGAATATACCGTACATACGAGCCAAACTTTTTGAATAGACGATTGTTCATTCGAAATCCAGTTCAACATTTTCTAATTAAACCTCCGCCTACGAAAATAGATTCGCAACACCATTATACCCTCGACCATTCGTTTCTGAAAAGTTCGAGTATAAATGATGTTATATAGAATTTCCAATTCTTATAATACTGCTTTTAAACTCTCAAGTATTTATCATTATTTTCATGATTTATGACTGTATATGTATACATACGTTGAAAATATATATTGACCTCTTTGCGAAGTTTAGTTTTTGAGAGAAACTTGTTATGCTCATCGGACATTTCATTCTGAGTAGATAACAGTTTAATAAATTAAAAGACAAAAAAATTATAATGTAAGCAACCACTGTAAAAAAATTTTATGTTAAAGCTCACGGGTGTTGTGCAACTCAACATATGTATCCGCAATATTTTTTTAAGTACGCAGCGAAGATTGAGTAGGCATACAAAATGTATTTTCATGCGAGGTTAAACAATAAATGTGCACGCGAGTCTGTTTTGCTGATAGATAAATTTTCTTGCGGAAATAATAAGAAAAAAAAAATAATAATGTAATAGAAATTTAAAAGTGCTTATTATGCTCAAAACCAAACTCGCAATGATTCGTGATATGTGTAAGAGCGATGAGTTAAGTTGTCGGTCGAATTAGTAGTTCCTTAATATATTGTAGGCCAATTTGTATATTGAGAATGAATAAAATATATATTTATCTGAACATCTGTTTTATTCATCAAACCTTTTGACATGCGATAGCTCACTTTATAAATAATTTTACGTTTGCTTTTATTATCAGTTAAAAATCAGCTGCCATTCAATTGAATTTACCAGTTTTCTTATATCTAGTGTTATTATAATAGTTACAATAAATACTATTGACTCATTTAATTACGGTTTTAATAAATTCTTTAGCATTAAATATCCTTATTTTATTTACTAAATGTCAAAATCATTTCTATAATAAAAACAACTATTATTAAAAAATTCAGTAATATCAAATTGTATAATCCGATTATTATTAATTCAATATCTACTAGCCGTGGAAATTAATACACATTCGTAAAATTTCTCAATTACTTATTCCGTTATTCACTTTTGTATTGCGCGCTGAATTATATACTACCTAAGGGAGTGTCCACACGGGATACCTTTTCCTTCCCGATCTCGATGCTGTCCCCGTCCGAGTTTTTGTATGCGCACGCCATCTCTATAATTTCGAGTTCATAGATTAAGATGTGTATCTCGCATTCATTATGAAACTTACCACTCAGCTCGAAGTTATAGAGATGGCGTGTGCATATAAAATCTTGGACGGGGATGGCCCCAAGGTCAGGAAGGAAGAGGGATCCCATGTGGATACTCCCTAAACTTAACTGTCAATATTTATATAATAATATATATATATATATATATAGCATATGAGACATGGCAGCCGTTAAGACTGTTTCGTCGTTCATACCGGGCACGTGTACAAAACAGGCATAAGCAGTAGACAGTTTTCTATCAATAAAAATTATAAGTTACTTAATCAAAATATGTGTGGGATATTTTGTTTGATTAATTGTGCAAAGCACGATAAAAATCTTTCAATTAATCATGAATCACGGGAGGTAAATTAGTTATAATAACGTTTTGTTTACATTTTTATGGCTAACTGCTAAGTAAATATTTAATTAGAGAATCATTATTTGCAGTGGTCATTATGCAAAGATGTTATATCAGCAAGGGGACCAGACGGTTTAAATAGTCTAACACAAGGCCTGTCAGAATGGTGGCATGGTCAATTCTATGCAAGCATATTATGGATGCAAGGTGCAAAACCCATTTCACAACCACTAGTTGACAATGACTCCAATATACTTTTATGGAACGGAGACGTATTTTCTGGTGACTTGGTATGTGCATGCAGCATATTGATTTTTCTAATCACTACTTTGAGTGTTAGCATTTGATTTGAAATATTTTTTTTTAGTTTCAAGAAGGGATTTGTGATAGTGAACAAGTTTTGTCAAAGTTGAGTATTACAAATGACATTTATTCAATTTTAAAAAATATTAAGGGCCCCTTTAGTATTATTTATTATCAAAGTTCTTCAAACTTATTATATTTTGCAAGAGACAAGTTTGGCAGGCATAGCTTATTATCCAAAATAACTGAAAATTCACTTTTTTTAACATCTGTTGCGGTTAAGAGTTTAGAAAATATTATAGAATTGCCAGCTGTTGGGCTGTATGTTGCTGATTTGAATGAAAAAAAAATAAAAATAAAATGTCTTCCGTGGAATAAACCAAATAAGAGACTTATTAATATTATAAATAGTTTTAAAGAGAATTACAACGTTGATATAACAGTTGAAATACCATATAGTGTGTTACTTGTAGAAAACTCAGTTATAGATAGTTCATCTACATCTAAAATGGGATTTTTAAAATACCTAGACTATTTTGAGGACTCCAACAAGTTTGATGAAATAATGGAATATTTTTTGAAGCAAAAGGATATTAATCAAATTGTAAATGATTTATTAAAATTATTAAATGAATCAGTTAGAAGAAGAGTAAAGATAATTCCTGATTTGTGTAGAAATTGTACAAAACTTATTTATACTAATGTTGCTAAATGTCAACATACAAAAGTTGGTATTTTATATTCTGGAGGTTTAGATTCAGCTATTTTGGCTGCTATAGCTCATAATCATGTTCCAGTTGACGAAACTATAGATTTGATTAATGTAGCATTTGAAAAGAAAAACAATGCTAATTATGAAGTTCCAGATAGAAAAACTGGAAGACAAACTTTTAATGAGTTATTAAAAATTTGTTCAAACAGGAAATTTAATTTAATTGAGGTAAGAATAATATAAAATCTGCCATAAAATCTGAGCTAAAATATAACTATTCTAGGTCAATGTCTCACAAGAAGAATTGCAAAGAAAAAGATCCACTAAAATTTCTGATTTAGTTTATCCACATGCTACTATTCTAGATGATAGCCTGGCATGTGCTGTTTGGTTCGCTAGTAGAGCAAAGGGAAAAATCAATTTAGAAAATCAATCTTATGAATCAACTTGCAGAGTTCTTTTACTTGGTATGGGAGCTGATGAACAATTTGGTGGTTACATGAGACATAGAACAATTTTAAAACGTAATGGCTGGGATGCTGTGAAAGAAGAGTTGCAATTGGAATTTGATAGAATTTCTGAGAGAAATTTAGGAAGAGATGACCGAATGGTTGCAGATCATGGCAGACAATCTAGATTACCTTATTTGGATGAAGATTTTGTTGACTATGTGCAACAGCTTTTACCATGGGAAAGGTAAGTCATGACATCTATTATTTTATTAAAGTATTTTTGCTTTATTCCTACATATAATTTTTTATTTTTTAATATTAAAAAAAATAATGATAATTAATCGTAAGTCATCTATTATTATTATTATTTTGTTAATACGGTTATTATTTTGTTAATATTGAAAATGAATATTAATTTTTTGTTCACTATTGTTCACTATTATTTTGATATTATTTCGAAAGACTATTTCACGACTCATATGTACTATATAAGTAACTATATAACTATATATCTATTTTATATTATATTTTATCTTATTAGGTGTTGTCCGACAGAAAAATTTCCACCAGGTTTAGGCGATAAGTTAATATTACGCTTAGTAGCTCGAAAAATAAAACTTCATGAGGCAGCAAAATTGCTAAAGCGAGCATTTCAATTTGGTTCGCGAATAGCTGATGGCAAAGAGAACGCCAAGGATATATCAAAACGATTGTAAATCGATGTTTTTCATATTTTTTATACAGAGTTTCCATTTGCCATAACATCAGCTTATCAGCTTCATAAACTTCTACAAAACATTGACTCTTATCTGTATCAGTAGCTCGTTCGACGTCAGTTCGAGTGTACACTTGTATACAGAAGCGTAAATTAAAATAACACAGATATTTTTCAAATAGTTATTGAGTAAATTGCTTGAACATTTTGAAAAATGTATCGATGTACAAGTGAATATCAAGTGTATTTGAGTCCTGCTCCAGTAGGTCTCGAGCATGAATTCAAAACTTTGTTCAATCCAGAAGCTATTGGATTTTTAATTGATCTTAACCTACACTTTCAGAAGAAAATAGACAATTTATACACTGCCAGACTTGAAAGAAAATACTTGCACAAAAAGTGTAATAGAATACCCAAATTTATCAAGTCACATTATAGTGAAGATGACTGGAAAGTAGCACCAGTCAGTAAGTTGCATTTTTCAAAAAATATTTTTCTGAATAATACGAATACAAATCTAGAAATACTTTAGATTCAATTTTTTTAAACTTTTTAGATCATAGACTTGAAAATAGACATTTGGATCTAGGAGACGTTAGTCCTAGTAATTACATTCATTTTATCTCAGCTTTGAAAGCTAATGTTCAAGGAATACAAGCTGACTTTGATGATGGACACTGTCCAACATGGAAAAACCAAATCTTTGGTTTATATAATATTTACAGAGCTGTACATAATCAAATTCCTAATGTGCCAAAAATATCAGAAGCACCAATATTAATGCTTCGACCAAGAGCATGGAACATGATTGAGCATAATATGAGTATTAATGGCAAGGAAATTCCTGGACCTCTTTTTGACTTTGGATTATTAATGTTTCATAATGGGTTTCTTTTATCTCAATGTGAATCTGGACCATTTTTTTACCTATCAAAATTAGAAGGTGCTGGAGAAGCAAAGCTATGGAATGAAATTTTCAGTTGGACCCAATTAAGATTACGCATTCCCTATGGGACAATTAAAGCATGCGTCCTTATTGAAAATATTTTATCTTCTTTTGAAATGGATGGAATTTTATATGAATTAAAAGATCATTCACTAGGCTTAAACTGCGGTATTTGGGACTATGCTGCATCAATTATTTCCAAATTTGGGGATGATTCATCCTTTTTACTGCCTGATAGGAATAAATATGTAGATATAGGTAAACCTTTTTTGAAAAAATATATTGATCTAGTAGTCAAAACTTGTCACAAAAGAAATGCCCATGCAACTGGTGGAATGTCAGCTACACTTTTACCTAATAAAAATTCAAAAGATTTCAATAAAATAATTGAAAACGTTTTGAATAATAAATTGACAGAGATACAAGCAGGAATAGATGGATTCATGGTATATGATTTGAAATTAGTTAAATTTATGAATGATCTTTGGAGAAAATATGGAGGACCTGTATCAAATCAAATACGATTTTCTAGAGAATCTGAAATAATAACAGAACTAGATTTGTTAACTTTACCCAAAGGAGGAGTCACTAAAGAAGGTTTGGTACATAATATCACAGTGGGTATATTGTTTATATTCCATTGGTTATATGGTAAAGGGGTATTTGCTTACAATGGATCTGTTGAAGATTCAGCAACAGCTGAAATATCTAGAGCTCAAATATGGCAATGGATCAGACATGCTGCTCCAATTGAAAATACAGATAATGTTGTTACAAGAAGTCTCGTTTTTAATGAAACTTTTAAAGTTTTTGAAAGACTGACTCAAAATTATTATGATGATCTCGCGAGAGTTAAACTTGCTGTTGCATTTAATGTATTTTTAGAGATTGTAAATCACAGAAATTTTCCTGAATTTATCACAACTTACTTGAATGACACTTATATATTTAGAAAAATGCAAGCTAATTTGTAAATTCATATATTTTAATAAAATAATAAATTCGTTAAAAAAATATTTTATTACTCACATTAACTCCTTAAAAATAAAAATTTTTCTTATTTGTAAAATTGAATTCAATAATCTGACGGCGCTCTATCACTTTTCTTTTCAAAAAGGTTGACCGATAAAGTAGAGTAGTAACTTGCCAGTTTTATTGATTAACGAATTGATGTTTACTGATAGTGATTTGCAAAAACAAACATAACCTGCGAAGTGTATTATTTTCTACTTCAGTAGTAAAGAATGTAGATTTTTATTAATTGATGGTTTTATTGAATTTACGTTCTTAAGTTGAAAATCTCGTTATTTATAATTTTATAGTACTTCTAAAATGCCAGAGAGAATTGAAATATGTAAGTAGAATTCTTTGTTTTCAAGCTATGTATGTCAGTAAAAAATTTTGTTATTGAATTTTCCATCAATATTTTATTTATACATGACATACATTCAGCTGTGATCCCCCAAGATTTGAGACAAGAGGAAACTATTGTACAAATTGCAGAAGCTCTAGACAATTTAGAGTTTGCAGTTTCTCATATTTTTGACTCGATAAATAAACGGATAACAGAAAATGTTGAACGGTATGTAATTATCTTTCTATTTTAATAGATTTGATGTTAATTTTAATAAATTTGATCTTATTAAACATTTTTGGTACAGAATAAGTGCAATTCGAACTCGAGCAGCAAAACTTCAAGGAAAAATAAATTATCTACAGACTAATTTGAATTTAAAGGCAGTTAAATTATATTCTGCTGCAAAGTATCCAGCAATTCATGTTTACAAAGAATATGAACTAGCTGTACAACCTAAATTAAGAAAAAAAATGTTACCTTATGCTATTTATAAAAGTCCAGTTCCAATATCAGATAAAGCAGATATACCACTGACTTCTGGTAGTAAAGTTGAGAATGGACAATATGCTAGTAGTTTGAACATGCAAGAAAAGTTACAATTTTATTATGTCAAATCAAAACCAAATAAAAAAGCAAAATCTTTGGAAGTAGATAAGGAATGGATGTATCAAAATGTTTCTGCTATTGGTTCTTTATTACCTTTCAGTATGAAAGATTCAGGAAATGCCTATAATTTGCAATCTATTCAGAATGATGATAAAAGTCAAATTGAAGATGCTCCAGATTCAATTTTACAACCTTGGCATTCTTCTGAAATAGAATCTCCATCAACTTATCTGTATGCACCAACATTAGGAGAGGTAAGATTGATACAACTTTTCTTTATAGATTTTCTGGTGTAGTTAAAAATAGAAAAATCATTATGACTACTTGAAATTTAAGGCGCCACAAATGAACGTTCCACTCACATTACCCGATCTACCAGGAGTCGTCGATGATGAACGATTTTCTCTTGATTTTAATTTCCAAAATCCCATCGCACCATCTTCGGCAACAGCCACACCATTAGTTCGGAAGGATCCACCTACTGTCGAAGAAAATGTAGAAAATCTGCAAACGATTGAAAAAGCTCCAGTAGCTCCTAAAATAATTCCAATTCCAATCCAGAGTTCAAGTTCCATTCCAGCACAGCCTAAAGAACAAATTCCAAAAGAGACTGCCACTATCGTATCAACGACTAGTCAATCGGTAGTACCTCCTCCACCTCCACCACCATTACCTCCATCGGCAAATCCTCCCGATGAAGAGGAGAAACAACAAACGAAACAACCCGTCAAGAAACCAACTTCGATAAAACCTGCCGCTGGCGACGACAGGAGCAACTTGATGGCTGCAATTCGCGACGCTGGTGGTTTAGGAAAAGCAAAACTTCGACACGCTGAGCCTATTGACAAAAAGGATCGTTGGTCATCGGCCTCGGTTGGCGGCGATCTTATGGCCGACCTGCACGCAACATTGTCTCTACGGCGAAAGGGAATTGCTGGTGCTAGCAGTTCCGGTTTGGCTATGAATGCACTTCAACGATTATCTCAAATAATTCCAGCTCCACCTAAGCCTGGCGAATCATCGGATAGGAACTCGGTCACCAGTGAATCACAAGAGGATGATGGCTGGGAAGACTGAGGTTTTTTCTATAACTGATACATTTAATTCGTAAAATAAATTTATTTTTTAGATAAAATAATTTTCTCTAAATAATTCACAACAAATTCTTTACGAAGTTCATTAATGCAGTATTACATTTTATATATACGGCAAACATCTTTGTGCGCATGGACCACATTAAAGCATTCTTTAGGTTTGATCTAGGTTTTTGTATACTGTTAATCAGTATTACGAGTAATATAAAGAATGAGGAACTGTTTTTGTTACAAACTTTGTTGCATAGGTCCTAATTTTTAAACAAATTTTTACGCAATGTATGAAATCATTTGACAAATGAAAAATAACGGTAACGTACATATGAATAAACCAATTCAAATCAATCGATTATATAAAATAATTCAGCTTTTTACATCCAATATTATATTCAAAAACAATAAAATTCAATGTACATATGTAACCATTGTCCCTTTCCATGATATGTTTATATTCACGTGTTAATGTACCATGGAAAATAGTTTAAAAACTTTTATATCTTTATATGAAAAACATTTTTAACATGGCACTAATAGCAGTGCAATATAGCTTTTCTGTAGATGTATATACATTAATGCATATAAGAATTTACATTTGAAAATTTAAAAATTGTTTTTTACTTTCAAATACTTTCATTTAAGTTCCCTTTGTTCACTGTTTTGTCTTTTGTAAGAAGACACATTTTTCTCTTCTAAATAAAATTTTAGAGGAATGTTACTTTTACTAGTAGGAATTGATAAAAAAATATATAATTTTTACTGAATGCTTCTGCAACGGTTTTCCTACTAGCAAGAGTAAAATTTTCTATTGAAGTTATTAATAACCAATAACACCCAATGTACCAACAAAATCTTATAAATTATTGGACTGAAAATTGCATTGATACCTTTTTAATCCTAATGTACGTATGTGATTGTAAATGCTAATATCATTACTCGATACAAGACTTTTTCTTAATGACTTCAAACACAGATAAAAAACAGTTTCTGTGAAATATGGAGCATTAATATTAAACAGAATGTTTAATAATTTGGGGCTAACCAGTCTAAGAAATTTTTTGCTGCTTCAAAACCTAAGAAGCAAGCTGCATTAGCAGGAACAGCTCTAAGCATTACAGGAGTAAAACCTTTGTAAAGTGCTGCTGGACCTTCCGTTTTCATAAGATGTACAAAAACTTCTCTCACTCCCCTTTTATATGTTCCTTCTGGAGCTGTTCATTAAAAAATTAATAATGTATGATTATGAAATTATTACATAAAATTTTACTTTTAAATCATTTATTTATATATATACCAGTTTGTAGTCGAGATTTTAAAACATCAGGTGGCATTCCAATAACCCAATTGGCAATTCCAGCACAGGCTCCAGCAGTGAGTGTTGATAAGAGACTAATACTTCCATCTTCTTTTGTTAGGCTTCGTTTTACAACTTCATATGTAGTAAAATAAAGTCCACTAGCAGGTACATCTGAAAAAAAATTATCATTTTAAATTTTGAGGAAAACATAATATTCACATACTTCAAGTAATAGTAGAGGATAATATGTGTGGGTAGAGTAGATAATAGACATCCTGTATGATAATAACCACAGCAAGCAAACAGATAATACATGATGGTCTTCAGTTCCTCTCGGTCCAACTGGGTGGGCCGAGATCTCATTTGTGACAAAAATAAATTTTAATTAATTTTATAATGAACTACAGATTGTTACTCTGTATTTTTTTGACCTTGGTACTTAAACATTTTATACCATGAAATAGCATAAAATGTTATTTTCATTTGTGAATAAATATTTATGAATAATAAAAATAAATTTCATCTTTAGAGTCAAAGTAGAACTCAAATAATTGATCTTGGAGGAATTTGGGAAGTACAGTGTCCACGCGAATGTTCTTGTGAATTTCTTCGATATGCTGACTTACCTCTGCATCAATGGATCAATACAACTTCTGAACGTAAGGTATGTTGGAAAAAGCCATACTTACAATTATAAAGATAATTCAAAGATTTTAAATATAATCTCTTATTCTTCACATTATAATTTTCAAAATTTTTAGAGATGTATATAAAAAATTGTACTCTGATAAGATGTTTTTTTCCAAATAAAAAATAATTTTCAATTAAATTAAAAAAAAATAATACTTCAAAACAACATACAAGCAGAAAAATGATTCTAGATAGAAGATCATCCATTGGCAAATGAACTTTTACGAGTAGCAATATGTATTATCACAGGAGATCCAAAAGAACTATTGTCTCAGCTTCCAGAAGATGTACAGGTATATTTTAAAATCTTATAATATAAGTCTAAAATTTATCGAAATAAAATTCATCTCATTGTGTTTATTTTAGATATTTACACTTTTGGAATCTGGTTCTGGTGATAAAGAAATAATTTTGCAATCAGCTGACCTGCAGCGTTTTACTGATTTGATATCATTGGATATACAAGGAATGGAAAGAGATCCTTTGAAAACTAATAATATTTCAGGAAATGATAAAACAGGAATTGTTTTATCAGCTGATACACTTGTTCCACTGGGAACAACTTTGCTCTATTTAAATCTTGAACATGTAACTTTGACTCGTTTGAGCACAACAGATAAAAGCAAAGCAAATCTAATCATTAAGCGGATGAATCCTTTAGAGGATGAACTTGATGTAACATATATAAATCAGACAGGACATAGATTAATTTTCTTAAGTCAACAGTTTAGTGAGAGTACAAATGATAAAGAAATACTTCCATATGACTTATACAAGCAAGAGATGGAAGGTTATCAAGAATCTATTGGTCTTTTTACTGGATTAAGTGCATTGACACATCTTAAAATTCATAATTGTGCTTTGAAAGACATATCTTGGCATATGTTTGATAAATTAGAAAATTTACAATTCCTTTCATTGCAGAGAAATGATTTGAAGTTTATACCAGAATTTTGTTTTTATGGTACTCCTAATTTGCGAATTTTATCTTTAGCTAATAACCAGTTACTTACTATGACTAGTGTAGATTTGGCTGGTTTATTGGTACTTGAAAAACTTGATTTGAGTGGTAACAATTTAACTTTCTTATCAGAACTTTCATTTCCACCATTTCCTGCGCTATTGAGCGCTGATTTTCGTGATAATCCTTTGGATTCAATCTTTGCAAAGTATGTTTTTACAAATTTTTTTATCATAACACAATTTCTTAATTATGAAATTTTGTTACAGTACCTTTGAAGTCATGAATAGAACTACTAAGCTAGAATTAGGAGGTAATGAAGCAAAACTTAAGCTAGGAAAACATGCATTTTTGGGATTAAAAGATCTAGAAGTCTTGTACCTGTACAACATTGAGATATCAGTTTTAGAAAGATTTATTCTTCAAGGAATGCCATCATTGCTAGAATTAAAAATAAAAGGAAATGTTGCTGCTATTGAATATGATGCATTTGTGGATAACAGTAACATTGTTGATTTGGACTTAAGCCATTGCCATTTATCAAAAATATCAATGGATGCATTTTATGGATTAGAGAATGTTAAAAAAATTGATTTATCTTATAATGATTTGGAGTTCATTCCTCCAGGATTATTTTCTATATCACAGCAGAAAAAACTTAAAGAAATATTTTTAATTAAGAATAAGTTGTTAAAATTACCACCAGATTTTTTCAAAAGCTTACGTATGTCCAATAAACAATTTCAAATCCAAAATATAAGATTGGATGGTAATCCTTGGGACTGTAATTGTGAAATGACCTCATGGAATCCTCATATGGTATGCAAATTCAATACTCAATTGACTCTTATAATTAACAATAGTAAAGAAATGTTTTACTTTCTTTTAGGTAAACAGAACAAGAGAAACTGCTCCTAGATGTTTTACGCCAAAGTCCCTGAGAAATTGGGGTGTCTTTTATGCTCTTCGTAAAGGTGGATTAGATTGTCATTGGCCAAAACGCAGACTTAGGAGGAAACATTCAAAAATTCAAAAAAGTTATGTAAATGACGTGAATATTTAAATAAAAGCATTTTGAACTAGATTTCATTATAACAATATTACCTAATAAGTTGTTATATCATACCTGGTGGGTAAAATTTAATAAAAATATATAATTTGTTCACCTCTCAACAATGTAGCACAAGATCCTTTGAATATACTTCTTAAACCTCCTTCTGCATACAATTTTTTGATGCAGTCAATGGGGCCATTGTATTTTGGTGTAGCATTTCCGTGTTGTATCTGTAAAAGACACTTTATTCGCTCACCAGGAGCCATAATAACAGTAGTAAAAATTCCACTAAAAGCTCCAGCATAAAAAATTTGAAGCTCACTGAGTTTTTGATTGGGTTCTGATTGCTGCAACTTTTTACCAATACCGAAACCCAAAAAACTCATGGCAAATATAGGGGCAACACCAACAAGCGGAGCTCCCATGCCTAGTTGTTAAATTAGTAAAGATATTAATTTTTAGGGAAATGACGTGCTGATAGAAAGATTGTTAAAGAAATTTATAGATAATAACCTTTATAAAATCCTCGAAATCCTTCCTTTGTAAAAGTTTGTTTGGCACAGTCAAATGTACCCGTGTAGAGTGGTTTTTCATTAGGTTTAGGAATAGGCATAGTTTGTAGTCGAACCTGTACAAGAATAATTAAACATTCTTAATAGTGGCTTGATTGATAAAGATAATATAAAGATTAGAACAGTCAAAGAGTTGATTACATACATAATGCTTTTATTATTTGTTGGCAATAAAAAATGCAAACAAGGTAAGATTAAGATAATCATGCAAAAATGACGTGTCATAACCTTACTTTAATCGTATCGAGAGGATGACCGACGAGGATGGTGCATACTCCTCCGAAACCTCCACTTAAAAAATATTTAATAGGATTCACGTTTTCCGACATTGTTTTATAGAAAAAATAAATATAAGGTAATATTTGATAGACAAACGAAAACGGACTATCTGATTAAACAATCACGATGACGAGATGACTCGAAAGTGTCGTATTTTATGTGGTATATCTGTTGAATAAAATTGTAGCCAACTTTCGGTCAAGTGGCTCAGGGGTCGTATCAATAGAGAATGTAAATTACTTTCGATTAAGTTTAACAAGTAATGTGCTTGAAAGGTTTGATGTATGTATGTCTAACGTGCTCATTGCTCAGTACTTAGTCATTGAAGACCACGTGCGCATATCCGTAAGTGATATATAAAATATATACTTTTATTATTGTGTAATGGTATCATTTTATTATTGTTGTTATGAAATATTCATATTAAAATTTATTGAAAAATATATAGTATTTCAAATAAAAGCAATGTAATAAAATGTTCAACGTTAAAAAAAATTAGTGGCCCTGAAAAGGGCCGATTATGATGGGACAAAAGATGAACGTTTAAGCACGTTCGCCACGAATGCGTCTTGCCAATTGAATGTCTTTAGGCATGATGGTAACACGCTTAGCGTGGATAGCGCAAAGGTTGGTGTCTTCAAATAGTCCAACAAGGTAAGCCTCGCTAGCTTCTTGAAGAGCCATTACAGCCGAGCTCTGGAAGCGAAGATCAGTCTTGAAGTCTTGAGCGATCTCACGGACAAGGCGTTGGAAAGGCAATTTGCGAATGAGAAGCTCAGTGCTCTTTTGGTAACGACGGATTTCACGAAGAGCGACGGTTCCAGGTCTATAACGATGTGGCTTCTTCACTCCACCGGTTGCTGGCGCACTCTTACGAGCAGCCTTGGTGGCAAGTTGCTTCCTTGGAGCCTTTCCTCCGGTGGATTTGCGAGCGGTTTGCTTGGTACGTGCCATGACGACGCAAAAGAAGTTGTTTTTCGTTAGAAATACTAAACGACAATGTTCTAAAATACTTCATAACCTTTCTTATATACATTTTGTAGCGTACTTGTGATTGGTTAGTTTTTCGGTGGAGAGAGAAAGATGTCATTGCATTCGTATTGGATGATTTCAAAGTGGTGGGAGACGACACTTGGTGAAAGCGCGCGCAACGTCTTAATGAGTAGAGAGCTCACTAGTAATACCAAAATCATTTAAACTGCTCTGATTCGTTGAAAATTCGTGGTAGGGGTTTACACAAGCAGAGAGTATAAAATTGACGATTCTGTGTCCGAAAATATCACTTTGTTGTTTGTCACAGCAGAGAAAATTTTCATTTTAATTCAAGATGACTGGTCGTGGTAAAGGAGGAAAAGGTTTGGGAAAAGGAGGAGCCAAGCGTCATCGTAAAGTGTTACGTGATAACATCCAAGGTATCACAAAACCCGCGATCCGTCGTCTCGCTCGTCGTGGCGGAGTAAAGCGCATTTCTGGTTTGATATATGAAGAAACTCGTGGTGTTCTAAAGGTCTTCCTTGAAAACGTCATTCGTGACGCTGTCACTTACACAGAACACGCCAAGAGAAAGACTGTCACTGCCATGGATGTCGTTTATGCTCTCAAGCGTCAAGGCCGCACTCTCTACGGCTTCGGCGGTTAAACTAAATTCCCATTTCTAAATTAACTAATCGGCCCTTTTCAGGGCCACTAATATTTTTAAACGTTGAATAAACTTTCATATTCCTTAATCACATGCTGATAGTAAAGTTGATAGTATCATTAATAAGATATTAACTCTATTTTGAAAATAGTCCATTGATACATTTAACTAAATGTTTTGAACCTAATTTGAATTTAACAAGCAAAAATTAAGAAATATTTTAAACCTAATTTAAATTTAACAAGCAAAAATTAAGAAATATTTTGAACTTAATTTGAATTTAACGAGCAAAAATTAAAGAATAGTGTAACATTTTATACTCGCATTAAATGTAAATTGAATGAGCTAATTTAGAATCTACAAATATTTTACGTATAAGTCGAAAAGAATATTTCTTATATCTATTAATATAAATACATGCTTAGATGCAACTTTACAATGATTATTAAATGTTTTATATTTTTCAACTATTTCAATTGAGCAAAGAGCAACCTAATAAGATAAACAAAAACACTCGTAGAATATTTGTTGATTAGATCATAGTCCGCACTGTCATGCCAGTGGAAAGACAAGAAAACACGAGATAATGTTTAGCCAAGAAATTCACTCATAAAAAGGAAATTTGCAATAGCATTTTAAACTCACTTTCGAATAAAGAAAATATTAATTGCAAGGCAATTTAATACATTTTATCGGCATTTAACAAGTAAATACTAAATTTTTTTCAGAAATGCGTTACATCAATGAGGCGGATATTTTCTATATTTTTATTAGGTAAACTGATACTCGGCTATCATCGAGGGATAGCATTCAAAATAATTATTAAGATGCAATAAATAAATAAAATATCGTAATTACTTTTTATGATAAATAATCGTCAGTAATCAAAGTCGTGGAGAGAAATATTGGTAATATTTTATAAAATTGATTTTTATTTTAAATAGAATTTATTTCATTCTAATCAATATTTTTTAAGTTTACTTGTTTAATAAAAATAAAATGACAGCCCTATGGCTATTTCAAATAATATAAAAAAATAATTTTGAAATATTGAACTTTTAAGATATTTGGTAAATAAATGAGCTAGAAACATTTTTAAAGTTTTCAAAAATGTTACAAAACAACGTTGGAAAAATAATTTTCGTAAATATGTGGCTTTCAAAAATTATTTGCATACGTTTTAAAATATTTATTGGCCCTGAAAAGGGCCGATTAAAAGTGAAGGGGATCAAAGATGTAAATTACGAAGAACTCTTTTCAGTTTTTTTGGGTAAAAGAACTGCTTGAATGTTTGGCAGAACACCACCTTGGGCGATGGTAACACCAGAGAGCAATTTATTCAATTCTTCGTCATTACGGATGGCAAGTTGAAGATGACGCGGGATGATCCTGGTCTTTTTATTGTCACGAGCGGCATTACCAGCCAATTCCAAAACTTCAGCAGCCAAGTACTCCATGACGGCAGCGAGGTAAACTGGAGCACCAGCACCAACGCGTTCGGCATAGTTGCCTTTACGAAGAAGACGATGAATACGTCCAACGGGGAACTGAAGTCCAGCCCGCGTCGACCGGGTCTTTGACTTTCCCTTGACTTTACCACCACCTTTACCACGTCCAGACATGATGATAAATAATTATAATTCAAAGAGAATAAAATCTCGAAGATACACGATAACGTTTCTTTTACGCTTTTATACCGTAGTACTGTATTCCTTCGCACCAATCACCTTTGCAAACTCAATTCCCACTCTTATTTGTCCACAAAGTTAGCTCAATAGTGGGGAGCTTATCCCCGTCCATACGAGTAGCACGATTGTGATTGGTGCGCTGGAGTTCACATTCACGAAATAAAAGGAAACACCAAACTGACAAAATCGCTTTTCTCGTTCTCGTTAACGTTCAAAGTAGTCAGTTATCATGGCACCTACTGGTAAATCCAGCGGCAAGGCAGTTAAAAAATCTGGTAAAGCCCAGAAAAACATTAACAAAGGAGATAAGAAGAAGCGTGGAAAGAAAAGGAAGGAATCCTACGCCATTTACATCTACAAAGTCTTGAAGCAGGTTCATCCCGATACTGGCGTTTCTAGCAAGGCTATGAGTATTATGAACAGTTTTGTCAACGATATCTTCGAGCGCATTGCTGCAGAAGCTTCTCGTCTGGCTCATTACAACAAGAGATCGACCATCACATCTCGGGAGATTCAGACCGCTGTCAGGCTTCTTCTTCCTGGTGAACTTGCCAAGCACGCTGTCTCTGAAGGCACAAAAGCCGTCACCAAGTATACTAGTTCAAAATAAATTAAGGTTTACTTTTCAAATCGGCCCTTTTCAGGGCCATTAATATTTTTAAACGTATATCAAACTTTACTAGACGCCAATATGCATACTTAGTAATATCATAAATTTCTGTTGTTTTTCATACACAAATGTAGAAAATAAAAACCAGCTTATTTTCGATGAACGCCAAATTACTAAGTTAAAATTGTGAATAAACAGTTTTTATTTCCTTCATTTCACAAGTATATCTACTTATTCTACTGGTTTTATATAAGGAAAATTAAATATTTCTTTTTGACTTCACACTTGCACTTGGTTATGCGGAATATGTGGACACAATACACACCTACTACAAGAATGTAACGATTAGTTTTTTAATGATTATTATTTGGCATTATTTGACCATTATTTGGCATTTATGTTTTACTTATTTTACGTGATAAATATAAATGGCAACATTAATACATCAGTTTCTTCCGTAATGGGAAAGTCTTACTAAAACCATTTGATATATTTAAAAAGTTACTTGATTATTAGTTTTCTTACGCTGACGAGGATCGTGAATGTTGTCACAAATATTGCATTTCCTTATTCGGAGTTAGCATGGCATATTGTGAATATAGTAATCATAAAAACATGATTACAATATGACTGGTATACTACGGAAAGATAGAGGCAAATAGAAATAGAGATCGAAAGAACGTTTACCTTTTCGGAAAAAAAACAAATGCAGCTTAGAGCGTATGATAAGTAATTTGTATCTTATAAGGTCGCAAGGAATTTTTTCCATTCATATCATAATTGCATATCATTTGTTATTCACCATAATTTAATCATAAAAACTAGACCTTAGGACGGCTAGGTCATTACTTTACTTGTGATTGGCTGTTTGGGAGATAAAAAAAATTTTTAATTCTTATTGGATCATATTATTCTAAGCAAAATATTAAGTTTTATGTACGCTGATAAAATTAGTATTATTAAAAATTTTAATTTTATAGTGTTTTGCATTAAGTCACTATAACTAAATATAATTTATTTAGATTTTTAAGTTTAAGCCTGGGAATGACATTTTGGATAAAAAATAAAATTTTATAATCTATACCTGGACATCCTTAGAACTAGGTAAAGAAAATGTGAATTAACTATCTTAATTAAAGATGTGATATTTGCATAAAATGTAAATGGCATAAATAGTTGAATATACGTTAAAATTGATATGGTGGTCCTGAAAAGGACCGTTTATGTGGATAGCTCTAAAAATTGATTATAAAAAGGATTTATTTTTTAGAAGTAACCTTAATTTTGGTTACTGTGGCTTTCTTTGCTTTGGGTGTTTTAGGCTTCGTCGGAGTTTTTGCAGTTTTTGCTTTACAGGTTTATCGGTTTTGGACTTAGCTGGAACCTTTTTCATTGTAACTGGTTTCTTAGCTGCTGGTTTTGTAAGATCTGCTGATTTTTTTGTTGCACTTTCCTTGGGTTTGGGCGCGGCTTTTATTTTATTAGGCGCTGTGGATTTTGTAGCAACAGTAGATTTCTTAGTTGCTACAAGACTTGTGAATCTGACGCCCAAAAAAATTTTTTAATCATATTTTTGAGTTTTCATGAGCTAAAACTTTTTCTCCCTTTTTCCGGATTATGTCTCCGCTTGAAATTTTATTTCCGGATTTTCCGTTTTTAAGAAAATTGCAAAAAAAATCGGGCGTTCGTACAGCGCGCAAAATGCATTAAACATTTTTCTCCTGCTTAAAAAGAAATAATATCGATAGCGGATGATAGCTCCTTATTCCCGGATTACGAAACAATTTTCCTTTTGTCGATTTTCTATAAAAAATTGAGGAAAATGTAAAAATTAGTAATATGCGGCAGTTAGTCGATAAAACAGGTAAAACGTTTGCTAATCACCAGATATCCCTATATGAGTTCTACATTGCGTAATTATAATAATAAGTAATTTAAATTCTACTCAATTAACCATTCACATTTTATGTACACATATACATAAATAATTTTTTCTAAGGTTTTCTATAAGTTTGTCGACATATCAATTTTATAATTAATATTTTAACTATATAAAATAACATAATTCTGAACAAAGTAATAAAAAAATTGAATTGACTAGTTAAAATTGAAAAAAACAATCATTGATCAAAAACTTATAACTTAGTTTTATATTTGTTGAATTATTTAATAACGAACTTAATTTTACTTCCATTCTTCTTAACAATATAAAGTAATAATCCATTGTATAATATTATAAAAATACTTCAATATACAGGTCAGGTTATGATAAACTATATTTGTTTTGTCAAAAATATATTTGTTTCAACGTAGCAACACTTTTGCTAATTTTGTGGATAATGATTACGATTAGGTATTTGCATAAAAAAATATAAATAATCCAACCTTATTGTTTTATAGTTTTTAATATATTTTATAATACGACATATTGTTCACAATGTTTATCAACAAATATTGTATATATAACATAAGCAAGGAAAAATAAATTATATATTTTTGACAAAACAAATATAGTTTATCATAACCTGACCTGTATATTGAAGTATTTTTATAATATTATACAATGGATTATTACTTTATATTGTTAAGAAGAATGGAAGTAAAATTAAGTTCGTTATTAAATAATTCAACAAATATAAAACTAAGTTATAAGTTTTTGATCAATGATTGTTTTTTTCAATTTTAACTAGTCAATTCAATTTTTTTATTACTTTGTTCAGAATTATGTTATTTTATATAGTTAAAATATTAATTATAAAATTGATATGTCGACAAACTTATAGAAAACCTTAGAAAAAATTATTTATGTATATGTGTACATAAAATGTGAATGGTTAATTGAGTAGAATTTAAATTACTTATTATTATAATTACGCAATGTAGAACTCATATAGGGATATCTGGTGATTAGCAAACGTTTTACCTGTTTTATCGACTAACTGCCGCATATTACTAATTTTTACATTTTCCTCAATTTTTTATAGAAAATCGACAAAAGGAAAATTGTTTCGTAATCCGGGAATAAGGAGCTATCATCCGCTATCGATATTATTTCTTTTTAAGCAGGAGAAAAATGTTTAATGCATTTTGCGCGCTGTACGAACGCCCGATTTTTTTTGCAATTTTCTTAAAAACGGAAAATCCGGAAATAAAATTTCAAGCGGAGACATAATCCGGAAAAAGGGAGAAAACGTTTTAGCTCATGAAAACTCAAAAATATGGTTAAAAAATTTTTTTGGGCGTCAGATTCACAAGTCTGTTACCAGGCTTTTTAGTAATTTTTTTCTCGCCTTCAGACTTAGCGGCAAGTTTAAATGAACCCGAAGCGCTAGTTCCTTTTATTTGGACGATAGTTTTCTTGGTAACAGCAGACTTGATGTATTTTTTTTATAAAGGTAGACTGCTTGTCAACGTCGATTTTGTAATTGCAATATACTTTTTGATAGCCTGGAGTGAAGATCCTTTCTTTTCTTTCAGAGCGATAATGGCGGCATTAACCATCTCACCAGTTGGTGGATGGTTGGGCTTGGTCGTTGGTTTCTTGGCTCCAGCGGTCTTTTTTAGAGCCTTAGTTTTCTTGGGCGAAGTCTGGACCACAGGTACCTTAGATACTTGAGCTACTGCTGTTTCAGCCATAACGAATGAGATATTTTAAACACTGCTACGGAGCTGCTAAAACTATTGTCGAACTTTGCCATTATAATGTTGTTGTATTGAAATTAGTTCTGAGGGTAAAAGAATGTCTTCCAAATATCTGTTAAACTTAGTCCAGACTTCAAGCCAAGTATTTTCAGTTATTATTACGCGTGATACAGTAATATCAACTGAAACTATATATATTATTTTATCTATTGAGACTATACTACTTACCGAATTACAATTCGTTAAGGGTGTTATACTCCATCTTCTACCTTTTTTTTTTTTTTTTTTTGATGGGAGAGGAGGGGAAAATCCTCGAAAGGACACCTACTAAGATGGAGTAGTGGGTAGTGCCGGATTTTTACCGGCTAAAAACCCCTCCACGGCGATTACCAACCCGGAGGTTATGAATCAAGAAAGGGGAGGAGGTCGCTCGGTGGGGGGCCGGTAAACTTACGCAGAGTGCGAGGCTTGGGGGGGGGGGGGGGGGGGGGGGGGATTTGAGAAGATTATTTTCGTTTCGTTTCGTTTTAATGACTGTGGGTACCTGAGGACTCCGATGCGCCACAATTCAAATTTGAGAGATAAAATTTGAAATTTAAAAGAATTTTAAAGTTTTTATTGGTAAAAAGGGTAGGAAGAGAAGAGTAGGGAGAGTGTATGAATTATTTTATAAGGTATATGTGTAGGTAGGGTATAGTAATGATTGATTTTAGTTGTCGGTAAAATAGGTGTTTTGATTATGTGTAGTGTGGATGTAAAGAGTTAAGTTCGGTATATAAAATGATTTTGGAGGAAGTAAAGTTATATAAATAGGTTGCATTGTTTTAAAAAGTCTGTTATAAATTTGGATGTTATTTCATTTGGATTAGTTAATATTTTCTCGATGGATGGTGGGGGTTGTTTTTTCTTCTTTTCATAGTATTTTTTAAATTTAATATTTAATGTGTATCTTTGTAGGTGGTAATTGGGGCAGTCCCATACAATATGATTTGCGTCTTGTGAAGTATATCCGCATGGGCACGAAGGAGAATTGGTCATATTTTTCCTATGTAAGCTGGTAGCTAGATTATAATGATTAGATCGGATTCTTATAATTGTTGTTAAATGTCTTCTTGAATAGTTTATTTTGGAGAACCATGGTCTAGGATTTTCTTATTGGAAGTAGTATTTAAAGTAATGGGAGCCTTTTTGTTGACTTTGGTTAGTGATAAATTCATTATGTGATTTTTTGTGGTTGTTGTTTATTTGTTGTAGAAAGTCTGTATAGTGAAGCTGGGTGATTAGATTTGTTCCTTTTTGAATGGCTTCTTTTGCTAAAAAATCTACTGTATCGTTGTAGGGGATATTAGTATGGGATGGTATCCAGATAAGTATTATTTGGATGCCTAGAAGTTCACATTCATGTAGGAGGGATTTGATATCAAGAATTATATGTGATGTGTTTTTTGATTTAATGGGTGAGTAGTTGGAGATGACTAATAAGACGCTGAGGGAGTCAGAGAAGATATATGTTTTATTTGGTTTTATTATTTTAATTTCATGTATAGTTAGGAAGATTGCTAGTGCTTTGAGTATAAAGATAGAAGCTGGAAGTGAGGTTTTATATTGAAGCTTTAAATTTGTTGTTGGGCTATAGATGGCAAGGCCAGAGAGTGAAGAGGTTTTAATTTTAGAGGCATCAGTGAAAAAAGTTAGATTAGAATTTATTTCGGTATTAAATAATTTGTTGAATTCTTGCGGAGGATTATTTGAGGATTTTATATTTTTTCCAGAGGTTGTATCAATGAGATTTTTTTTTATGGTAGCGTGATAGTTGTAATCGAAAGGGATAGGGTGTGCATGAGTTGCAATTTTGTTAACTGTTAAATTTGTTATATTTCTCCGTGTTTCTATTGGGATAAAAGTTTTTTGTATTTTAAATGTGTCTTTTTATTTTAGGTCGTGATCTAAATTTTTTAAGTTGATTAAGATTGGTGAGTTTTGAGATGATATTAGTTTTAGTATGACGGTGTAGGCTGGTCATAGCCTGCACCGTGTATGCCTGCATTCTCTCTCCCAGGCGAAGGCACACGGCTGGCATCAAACGCACGTTATTTTCACGTGCCTCATGCCTGCCTCTTTATTTTCAGCAACGCACGAGAACAGAAGGCGAAGCCATAGGCGCGACGACGCGATCGAGCATTGAGAGTGCGCGAGAGAGAGAGAGAAGCAATATATGAGTCTAGTGGTTGGGCTTGGCGCGCGGCACTTGTCGCGACTGGCATTGCCGCGTGCCGCCGATTAGGAGGCGAGTGGTGGGAGAAGGCGTGAGAAGCTGGCTCTCACGCACTCGCGACAGTGACGCGACGCACGCGAGTACAATCGGCCGCACTAGCTTGAGTGATCGTCGCCGTGAAGCCTGCCCTTTGTTCAGCCAAGCAGCCAGCAGTCTTCCTGCAGATTAGCCGAGCCCGTTTCTCTGCCAGCAACAGCGGTCGCAAGTTCTCCTGCCAAACCGCCAGCAACGCAGCAACCAACAGGTTCTCCTGCCAAACCGCCAGCAACGCAGCAACCAACAGTCTTCCTGCCAAGCCACCGGTGGTGCATCTGCAAGACTGCCAGCGACAGCAACATCCGCCAGCATCGGTCAGGTTATTTGTTCTCCTCTCTCTTTGCATCTCTCTTTTCCTCGGCGATTTCGCGGTTCGTGTTGCTGCGCCAGGCTTCCCCGAGCCGGCGTAATTTCCGACAGTGCTTTAGTTTTTAGAGTATAAGTTGTTGTTGAGTCGGTTAATGAGACGGCAAGGCGCTCACTTTTTTTTTTTTTTTTTTTGTTGATGGGAGAGGAGGGGAAAATCCTCAAAAGGACACCTACTGAGATGGAGTAGTGGGTAGTGCCGGATTTTTACCGGCTAAAAACCCCTCCTCGGCGATTACCAACTCGGAGGTTATGAATCATGAAAGGGGGAGGAAGTCACTCGGTGTGCCGGTGACACTTACGCAGAGTGCGAGGCTTGGGATGGGGGGGGGGACTTGGGAAGGTTAAGTTGGGGTGAGGAGCGAACAGGGTCTAGGGACTTTGTCCTTGGTTTTGCTGGTGTAGGACACCAAGCAGTTGATGGTGGGGTTTGAGTGTTCGGATATCGAGGAGCGGAGGTTTTTGGTGTAGGTGGCGGCAGCTTCCTTGATAGAGGGGAGGCCGGTTTCTCGTAGAATTTGGGAGTTTCTGATGTACCATGGGAAGTTGAGGGCATTGCGGAGTATGCGCATATAGGTGCTCTCAAGTTTGTTGATGGATTTTGCGGAACCCCAGACAGGGATGGCGTATGTGCTGATGCTACGTATGATGGCGTTGAGAGCGCGGATTTTGGTTGTTTGGGAGATGTTTTTGTTGGTGAAGAAAGGCTTAAGGGAGGCGAAGGCGCCGTTTATTTTATTACGGACGGCTTGGGTTTGTTTGCTCCAGTTGAGTTTTCTGTCGAATACCACTCCGAGGTATTTGACAGAGTTACTCCACTGGATTTTGTGGGATCCGATTAATAGGTTATCGGGGGGGATGTTTCGGTGGGAGAAGAATAAAGCTTCCGATTTGGTTTCGTTGAGGTTGAAACCCCATTTATGATACCATTTTAAAAGGTCTGGGATGAATTTGTTGAGGACTGAGGAACAAAACTTTTTGGATTTGGAAGTGTATAGTAGGGCCACGTCGTCAGCGTATTGAGCGGTCATGATATTTTTTTGGATAGGGATGTCGTAGCAGAAGATGTTGAATAACGCTGGGGAGAGTTTAGAGCCCTGTGGGACGCCGGCGGTGACCTTTTGGGGGGAGGAGAGGGATTTGCCAACTCGAACCTTGAAGGTCCTGTCGGTAAGGAAGGACTTCAAGAGGCCGATCAGATAGGGGGGACAGTCAAGCTTTAGAAGCTTGAAGATGAGTCCGTTGTGCCAAACTCTATCGAAGGCTTGCTTGGCATCTAGGAGGAGCATGGTGGTGTGCTGTCTTTTATTTCGGTTGTCAGCGATGAACTCGGAAACCCTGAGAAGTTGGTGGCAAGTACCGTGGGAGTGACGGAAACCGTGTTGGAAATCGGGAAGAACCTTATTGTTCGTGATGAATTGGTTGAGACGGGGGGGGATGATGTTTTCAGTGATTTTGCTGAGTGTGCTGAGAAGGCTGATTGGTCTGTAACTAGAGGCTTGATTTAGGGGTTTTCCAGCTTTGGGGAGGCAGATGATTGTGGCTACTTTCCAAGATTTTGGGAAGTATTGTAGTCGCATTATAGCATTGATGATGTTACAGATGGAAACGATGTGGAGGCGGGGGAGAATTTTTAGGACACTGTTTGGAATGCCGTCGGGTCCTGGGGCTTTGCGGTTCCGGAGGGATTTGATTGTGTTGGAGATTTCTCCAGGAGAGGTTGGATGGAATTCGGGGGGGGAGATATTTAGATTGTGTACTGTGTGGTTAACAGAGTTGTGGAAATCGGTGTAGTTGATGTGTGTGGGGAAGGGGGAGCATTGGTCTTGGAGGGAGTCAGCAAGGATGTTTGCTTTGTCCTCTTCGGCAGAGAAGGAAAGTCCATTTTTGGTGAGAGGGGGAGAGTAGGGTTGGCGGTTGCGCAGTGATTTAATCACCTTCCGGCAACGCCTTGGGTTTTGCTCAGCTTCGGATATGTAGTTGTTGAAGAGGGAGTCGCGGGAGGTTTGTAGGGCTTTGCTCAAGTCGCGTTTAAGTTTGTTGAGCCTGGGGCGGAGGTCTGGATTTCCGGTTCTTTGGAGGAGTCTGCGGGTTTTGTTTTTCTTGCGAATTAGTTCGCGGATAGCTGGGGAGGATTTCGTTTTAGGGAGAGGAAGAGGGGAGGATATGCTGCTAGCTAGGAGTATTTTATCTTTAATTTCAGTGGTGAGGGCGGTGACGGAGTTTTCGATGTCGGAGATGGAGTGGATTTGCTGAAATTGGAAGGTGGAGGTTTCGAGGAGGTATTGTAGGGTTAGCATGTTGATTTTGGATTCTT